TAATAATATATATATATATATTTAAATTGGAGATTATGATTATTATTGATAAAATATTAAAAAATTTCAGTTCATGGAAAGTAAATGAAAAACAAAACATATTAGTTAATCTATAAAAAAAAAATTCTTGCATAAATATCAAATTTATAGAATATGTACAGTACCAAGTGAATAAAATTTTCATGCAGAGTAAAAAAATATGTCATGCTTCATTACAAGTACAAAACTAACACATTACATACCTGAAAATGACATATATATATATCTCATACATAATTAGTATTAATTAATATCCTAGTGCATAGGTAGATAACTCATCAATATATAACTTTTAGTTGTTTAATTTAGATTTAGGTACATTTGCTAGAGACTTATCAGAGATGATGTTAATCTTTAAAAATGTCTTTTACTATATTTATTAATGCTGTTGATAACCAGTCTTCTTCAATGATTTGTATAATTTCTGTTAAGTTTACAAATCTGGAAAACCAAATATTTAATTACCAATGCTCTGAAATTTTATTTTTTGTTAACAGTATATAGCAATAGAGCTTTATAATTTTTTTTGTTTTATTTTAAATTTGTATATTATTTTCTAGTTTACTTACATCAATAATTTCTATAGATATTTTATTGTGCTTTATAATATTAGTTTAATAATTATATATTTTAAAAAAGGAAGGCATTTGAAAATATTTCATATTTATTTTTTATTCTTCCTTTTATTAGCATATTAATGAAAATAATAATTTTAAATTTATATTACCAGAACTATGTCCAAGCTTTAGATTCCGAATCTGTTGAAAAAAATACTTGCTCTCTTTTGAGTTTACTTTCTTGTAATGATGATCTAGTACTTTTACTGTTTCTGTCCAAGATTCCTTTTTACTCTCCCAACTATCTAATCTATTTCAAAAATATCAAGAAATATTAGTTTATTTACATTTAATTATAATTAAAAAAAAAACAAAATTTTTTCTCTGATTTCTATAATTACAAAATAAATAATAAGTAAATCAATGAAAGAACAGATTAAAAATTTAAAAGAATTTCAGAAAAATTTAAAACAAATTAATATTAAAAAATATATTTGATCTATACATATATTTTTGAAAGTATGTGTGGTGTGTCTAGCTGTTTGCTACAGAAATTAAGGTGTTTATAAACGATGATATTCCCAACAAGCCATTTACTAAAACATTTCATTATTTAATAGCAAATATAAAAAGTAAAATTTAGAAACAATGACACATATTGCTAATTAATTATTTTTGAAGCTTAAACTTTTACACACATTACTTTTCATTTAAATGATTATTTTTATTTATACAATTCAAAATTTGATTAATTTTCTATACTTACATGATCCAATCACTTGACTGTAGAGCCAAATCTACCATAGCACATCTATGTTTAGCTTCAATCAATCCTGTTTTGTTATAACCATCATTCACAGGTGAGATGATGCCTCCAATTACTATATATTGCCCAGTACTGTGGAGATAATCTCTGGCCAATTCTAAATACGAGAAAAATTTTTAAATAAAAACTTTCTATATAAACAACAAATTGTAAACAAGATTTTATTTTTGTTGGATATCATTAAGTATTAAGACAAACTTGTAATTTATCCCTATAACAAAAATAACCTAAAAAGAATTGTGCATTTAGAAACAAACTTTATGATATTCAGCTGCAAAATTTTTCTTATATCCCTTTTAGTTTGAACAGATGCATCCAAAAACTTTATTTTTTTTTTTCAAAGATTTCTTTCAACTATTTGCTGGAAAAAAACTTGTATTTTTTCAGCAAATCTGTATTGCTGTAAACTATGTAACATAAATTCTGTATATTAAATACATGTCAATAAATAACTTTACATTGTCAATAAAAGTCACATTAGATAAACATTTTTAATTTCATTCTTATTACTGTAAGAGGAAAATAGTAATTTTAGATATTGCTTTGAAATATTGTCCCATTTGTTTTATTTTAAATTTTTGTTGAGTTTTTTATGATTTATGGTTAGTCAACAATATTTATAATGAATGATTAATCTTTTATGCTTCTATTCAAAAAATAAAAGCATAAGAATCTCCAAAAATACTATCCAATCCACGACTGGAGTCTGTGGATGTGATAATTCCTAGAAAATAACAGTGTTTGAACCAATTACATATGGAGATTTATAACAAACTTTATATATATTTTCCATTGTACAATGTCAGTCAGCACATCATCATTTTCTGAAAAAGAAAGTAACCCTAGTGTGACATGACCAAGCTGTTGATTCAGTGATTTTGGCACTAAATCTAGTGTTTTTGGGTTGTTTTTTTTTTAATTCTTTCTTCCCTGCAAAGTGCTCGCATGGAAGAAAGAATTAAAAAAAGCAACTTGGTAGGCTGACACCTTGACCAAGGTGGCACCTACCAAGTTGCTTAGTGTCATGTTTATAAAATTTAGCTGTGTCTGAATTTTGGTGTTTTTTTGATAATATCAATATTTGGTGCTTTTATGATATTTTTTGGTAATACCATTTATTACTTTAAAAAATAAGATAATGTGGATGCCATTATTGTCAATGTTTTACAAAAAATGAAGGAACTATTCTATTCTAAACACCGGAATAAAAATGACGTCACACTATCGGAACCTGTGACCGGTGCTCTATGCGTATACGTTAAATATCGCTTGACAAACGTTTTTGAGCGTTCTGTTCGCTTGTCTTCAGGTCAACTGAAAGAATTCCCCGGACGGAGTGTATATTTATTCTTCTCTAGGATTGGGTGTCAGTTCTGAGGTGGTGGGTCGCTTCTGGCATGTGCAGCCGTGCGGCGGGGGAAGCGGCGGATTGGCGTCCAATAGTGATTGCCAGGCCAGAGACAAGGTCAGTTCCTCTTTCCGGTTAATGCAGGTGGTTAGCCGGTTGGCGTTGTGGATAGCCGCGGCTTCCAGCCATCTGAGTTGCTGCTGGTGCGTTTATAAACGATATGTTGACGACATCCTTATCATATGGAAGGAGATACCCGACATGACATCTTTCGACAGAACTGTTAACGACAACCCTTTCGGCCTAACAATCAAGCTAGAGCAAGCTAGTACCGAAGAGGTCCATTTCCTCGACATCGGGATAAAGATAGTAGGACCCACCATCCAAACAGCCGTATACCACAAGTCCTCATCCACCCCCCACGTACATACCAGCCGATTCCTGTGACCCGTTCCCATACAAGGCAGCCACATTTAGGGCTCTTGTGGAGAGGGCGTTCTCACACTCATCCACCAAGCAAGCCCTGACAAATGAATTAGCACGCATGAAAAAAATAGCAACCGAACATGGATTCCCGAGCATGACGCACCGCTTAATTGAACAGTACCAACGCTGGAAACATGCCCTAACCACAGAGATCACCGCCGACCCACAACGAGATAACTCAGCACGGATCCCCATCACATACAACCCGCACCTCAAGACTGTACATAGAAAAATAGCCAAAGAGCATAGGATTTGACTGGCGTACAGAAAATGCCCCACAATTTTCCGCATCCTAAGGAACGATAAGGACCCTCCTGATCGCACCAGACTCCCCGGAATCTACTCTATCCTGCTCCGTGACAATAGACAAAACGCGGAACTACTATACATCGGCTCAACCAAACGCTCCTTAAACACCCGCCTACATGAACACCAAGCAGATATCCGGCACAGGAGGCTGACCACAGCCCTAGCCACATACGCATCAAACCCCGAAATCGAAGTACACTTTGAGAGGGCTACCATTATTGTCAACATGCCTCACCAGCAGCAACTCAGATGGCTGGAAGCCGCGGCTATCCACAACGCCAACCGGCTAACCATCTGCATTAACCGGAAAGAGGAACTGACCTTGTCTCTGGCCTGGCAATCACTATTGGACGCCAATCCGCCGCTTCCCCCACCGCACGGCCGCACATGCCAGAAGCGACCCACCCCCTCAGAACTGACACCCGATCCTAGAGAAGAATAAATATACACTCCGTCCGGGGAATTCTTTCAGTTGACCTGAAGAAGAGCGAACAGAACGCTCGAAAACGTTTGTCAAGCGATATTTAACGTATATGCATAGAGCACCGGTCACAGGTTCCGATAGTGTGACGTCAATGTTTTACAATGTCCATGAAGACTTTTACTACTACAAAGAAATTTGTATGTAATAGATTTGGCAATAGGAAAACTAATAAAAATAGTTGGGACTTATGATTTCTAAGTCTCCCAGAATTATTGGGAGACTAGAATATGACAAAAAATTTTAAATTCTCATACTCCTAAATTAAACCTTATTCTTCCTGTATTTAACTTTTGGGTTGTATACTAAAGCATAATTAAGAATTTGCAACAATGTTTTGAGAGTTGCTGAGAAGTAAAAAAAATCATTAAATCTCCCATAATTTTCACTTCTAAAATGAAAAATTTCCAGAATTAACTCTTTAGGAGTTTGGATTGAATTGATAGATGAAACAATGCAACACATGGTTGACCTGTCTTTATGGGAAATTGTCTCCTATTTAAGTATTAAACCTATGAACCCACAACCAACTACTAATGTTTAGTGGTCTTAGCCACTCAGCCACAGATGGACAGCAAAATTATTGGAACTACAATCTGATTTTTTGTAGTTCCAATAATCTTACTGAAGATAATCATTTTGTTCTTTTACTCTTTGTGGACACTAAGCAGACTTGTTATTCTGTTGGTAAATGTCATGCATCAAGCTGAGAGTTTTATTGTATTAATGCTATTGTTCTGTACCAGAAAAACATTTTTATCATTAATATTACCAAATAAATTTGTTTTTTAAGTAACAGAAAATCTGGTGCTTTTCTGATGTTTTTAATATTTTAAAACTTCAGCCCTTTACTCATTAACTATTGGCAACACTGTACATATCTAACATATTCATGGAAATGGAGGTACAATTACATCTCTAAATGAGATGGTTGGGATCTTACCAGAGCTATAGACCATTCCCATAGAAGCAAAAAAAATTCAAAGAAACTATATCTTTACACGAGATACAGCCCCTGAAATCAGCCTATTTCTAGGATTACATGATTGGGAGTCACATTCTGCCCTCTGCTAAGATTATCACATTTAACTATTTAGCCCAGGCGACTATGCCAGCTTTGAGTACATCAATTGGCCGTTTGCAGAGTACTTGATGTTATTTAGGAGGTGTTGGGACTTGTCTCCACATACAGTCCCTGGCCAAATTATTAGACGCACTACAGATTTTTCATAATTACATGTTTTATACCCAGTCTGGTGTAGGTCTATCTTATAAATCATAATTTTCATAAACTGAACTTATTTTTTAATGTCATAGTATACCAATTTTTGTTATATTTCATTACAATAATAATTTAGTGGTATGTATCAGAGCTTAAACACTAAAGTGTAGTGTACAAGTACAAATGTGTTTCAGTCGCGTTCTCAATTGCTACTGGTGTGGACGTGTTTCTGTTCACCTCTTGTATTTATTTTGTGGTATACAATTATGCAAGTGTTTGTTTTCTTCGATAGTAGTAATTTTACCAACCAGATATGATCAATTGTTATCCTTTGACATGTGCAAAAAGGGGGACCTTTCACCACGTAAAAAAGCTGAAGTCAAAGCCGTCATTAATACAAAAATGTATTCCAACTGTGAAATTTCACGAAGGTTGAAGGTGTCTGAAGCTAGCGTACTAGTTATAAAAAAACAAGTTGAATCAAATCAAGATCTGAATCCGAAAAGAAAAAATAAATGCGGCAGAAAGCCAATTTTCACCCCAAAGTCAGAAAAACGTCTTAAGAAAATTTGCTTAGAAAACAGATTTGCTACCACTAAATCAATAAAATCTCAATTGGAAGATGCAAACGTGAATGCTTCTGAGCACATGTTTGCAGAAAATTGAAAGATCTGGATTTTAAGGCTTACCGACCAGCAAGAAAACCCAAGTTAAGAGTTGCAATGAAAGCAAAGCATTTGGAGTGGGCCAAACAGTGGCGTGATAAGGATGTAGACTTCTGGAGATCGGTAATTTAACATTATACAGATTATTTACTATAAAATAGACAAATTAACAGTAGGTACTTGATTCATAATTTTTTTTTTTTTGTTTTTTGTTTTCTCAGGTCTGAATTAGTGATAAAAGCACATTTGAAATTTTAGCCAACAAAGCTCATTTTGTCCGTCGTCATAGAGGCAAAACATTTTATTCTGACTGCATCATTCAGACTGTAAGCAGCCCATGAAAGCAATGATTTGGTCCATCATTAGTGGCAAGGACACTGGGTGCCTTTTACTTAAATCTGTGGCAGCAACCAATTTTGCAAGACCAATATAATTGGTCTTGCAAAATTGGTTGCTGCCACAGATTTTTATGCAAGATGGAACTCCCTGCCACACAGCGAGGTCTGTGAAAACATATCTACAAGAGCAAAATATCTCTCTGTTGGATTGGCCGGGTAATAGTCTCGACATGAACCCCATAGAAAATGTGTGGGAGCTCATGAAAAGGGAAGTGGCCAAAGAGGTCATCACAAACAAAATGCGGCTTTTGGAAAAATCATCCATGTGTTGAATCATCATCCACAAATGCAGGAGACGGTCCAGTCTTGCATCCACAGCATGCCGTGCCAGATTGAGGCTTTCATAGTTGCAAAAGGTGGTTCAACAAAATACTAAAATTTAAATGGCAATTTTGTATTTTTTTACTATGTTAATAAAAACAAAAATTTTCAATAAATATATTTTATTTGTGTTATCATCTATGTAATAAAGTAAACTGTACGTTACAGGTTAAATTCATTGGTAATAAATATTCAAAGACCAAATTGTACTAGCTGATAATTAAGATTTGCATAAAAACTATAGTGCATCTAATAATTTGGCCAGAGACTGTAGGTACTTCGATTCAAGCAATAGCAAGCACCAAAGTATATGACTATAAGAGGAGCATCAGTCAAGGCAAGTGATGGTGAGCCTTGACTGACATAGAGCTTGGAGAATAGGTAGCAGTACAGGTTCACAGTAAAAACTGACCTTTGGAGACAAGTATTCACAAAGGGTCACACATACAGGTATGGTTTCATTACCTTTTTTTGTTCATAATGGGATCCACAGTTCTGGGGATGGTTTGTTTGTTTTGTTAAATTATGGCAATGCAACACTTGGGGGATTTACCGCCTGTGGGGGATGCCTTCCAGGGGTCTTTTTAAGGGTAACTGGCCCTATTCAGGCATTACAGATGTGGAGAAAACCCAGAAAACTCCACTTGGCCAGCCAATCCTGGTGAGGTGCAAATCTACAACCAAACTCCCAGTGTTCAGGAAACAGAACTGCTTGGTCACTGGTGGCCAAGCAGTTCCGTTTCCTGGGGATGGCAAATCCATCATTCAGAGTTCATATCTTACCAAAACAGAAGTGCCTAGGTAAACACATTAGAGGTATGCTGGATTGGCAAGTGCATTGTATTTAGATTCTTTTTTTGTAAGCAGTATAATATCTATTAGAAATTAACCAGTGTGGGTATAAATTAAGCCAGAGTTTATTACTGATAGGAGAATTTTAACAATGAATCAAACTGTAAAATTATTTCTTAAATTGTATAAATTTATATAAGAAAAAAGCGATAAAGATAAAATATACCGAACATCCTCAGATGCATATTCGTAATAGGGTTGTAGGATCCACATGCTAAAAGCACAACCCAATAAGGGGGAGGCATCTCAAGCAGACAACTTCTACTGCGCTCCCCCTTTCGGATATATTAAGAACAACTAAATCATTATTTTAGTTAAATATAAATTATACAAAGATAACGAGTCTTACGAAATGCAATTTGTTTATTTTATTTTCATTTTACGTTTTTTGTGAAAATATGTTAGGCTTTTTTATCGTTGAAAAATTTTTTGGAAACCCTAAATTTGTTTGCATCTGGACCCCTTTCTGGGGAATACCAGCCTTTCATCCTGTTATCATAAAGCCTCTAGAATATGGTTACTAGCTGCTATTATTTTCAACCAAGGACTATATATTATATGTAGTATGACGGCCGGATGGCCGAGTGGTCAAGGTGGCAGTCCACTGCTCTGGGGACCCGGGATCGAATCCGGACGAGTCAAAAAATTCCCAGCAATTTTTTGAGGAGTTGGTCCGGATATGTCGGGCCGTCCCTCACCACCCGGCTGAATTCATAATGGGTTTATTTTTTTACTCTTCGCCCTGGGGCATATATTCTCATAGCAAGCCCATTATGGATTCGGCCAGACCCACAATGGGGCAGTCGGGTGGTGAGGGACGGGGCCTGACATATCCGAACGGACCACTTCCGAAAAATTCCTGGGGATTCCTTGACACGTCCGTATTCGATCCCGGGTCCCTAGAGCGGTGGGCTGCCACCTTGACCGCTCGGCCAGCCGGCCTTCTCGTAATGAGTCTGATAAAAGTCTTAGGTCCCAGAGGACAGAAAGAGTTTAAAAAAAAAAAAAAACTATAGGTAGTGTATAGCCCTTGGTCCAGTAGGCTAAATTGACGAGAGTTGCGTTAGCACTTGTGTATTTTTAAAGGGGTTTTTGTGTCGTTTTTTACATATTTCAATTTTATTTTTTGAGATTTTTGTAACACCTAACTGTCGATTCGTCTTCAGATCGCCAGTTTTTACGAAGAAGCACGTGAATTTATAATCGTAGGACTTCTAGGAAGTGGGATGTGAAAATGTCAGGCACATGGTTGCTGTAAGAGCAAAAGTTGTACGTTTTTACGTTATTTGCAGACTGCACTTTTCTGCAAAATGAAGAGACAAGATATTTGGCAAGAAAGATAAAACGGCAATAAAGTTGTTCCGCTTACATTAATATTGAAATTGCAAGCCATATCAATGTATTAATCACTATAAAGCTGTTTATAAGATAATAGCTGTACCCGGCTACGCATTGCTGTGGCTCAAAATGTATCTATTATAAATGTATAATACTCCCCGAAGGAGAGAATTATACATTTATAATAATCTAAAAATCCCTTCTTAGTGTACATTCTCTTGACGTATCCTATTAAAACGCGATAAAAAATGCAAAAAACCGCATCTAAAATAGTATAATAGAAGCCGAGTTCTTCACAGAAAGCCTTAATTTTGTCCCTCTCCCTCCGCGGGGGGATTTCGACATCTATATATGTAATATACAAGTTCGGACACGTGCACTGTTTATCTCGCCGACCACGCGACTGAGCTGCGCGGTTACCTATTTACCTCTTTATAATATTAGTATAGATTGTTATTTATAGACATGTGAACTTTTATAAAAATATTTTCAAGGATTTAATAGTAATTGGAACAAGAACGAAAAATATTGTTTCAAATGTTACAAGAAAAGATACTAGCTTAGAAGTTTTTTATTCATCTCATGAAAGCTGTATAATGCATTACTGTTGATCCTAAGAAAATTATTAATTCAAACTCCTCTACTGTTTTACAGATAATTAAACTTACACACAGGCTATATATAGATATAATTTTTTTTCAGTTTTTCAGACAATGTTCTCTACAAAACCAGCTGCGTACTATATATGAGTGGGGACCCTGTGCAACGATTTGAAAAAACGGAACCCCATTTGGTTTTCTGTATTTTTTTTGTGACACGGTCTAATATACGTAAAATTGTAAAATGATAAATTTATTTATTTTAAAAATAGTAAACTATACTTGAACATTGTAGGCTACTTCTTTTGTGATGAACACTAACCGCCTAAAATTTCTTTTCTGGATTTAATTGAAGTAAATTGGACAAGTCGTTTCCTCGTTTCTGAATTTTCGACAGAAAGTAATGACAAACTACTTTTACTTTTCGATCAATCAATACCAAAATACCTGAAAATCGAATAAATACAACATAAATTGCTTGTGTAATTTCGACAAGAACGTTTTAACACCTAAATAGGGGCCAGTTTCCAATTGAAATTCCTCACGGAGGTATCGTCCATGTGCCGCATTGCGATATAAAAACAAAAACCTGTACCTATTACAAAATTATGTAAAGGGCATCAAGAAAATAAATTCAAATTCGCGCAAACTTCATATCCCCTTACCTCATTATCATTTTGATCGTATGGAGATCGCTATAATCTGAAGTATGCGCTGTACGTTATCGCTTTTTAGGGTTTTTTTTTTTTTTAAACGCTCCGCCCTGTGGGCACTAAGAGGATGGGATCCGATCCATCTCCCCAAAAAATTCCTGGGATTTTTCGAGCCACCCGGATCCGTTCTCGGGTACCCCCAGAGCGGTGGGCTGCCACCTTGACCGATTGGCCATCCGGCCTTGCTTTTTAGGTGTATACGCGCATAGAATGCTGGTTTCCAGGACGCTTGTTGCTTGCAGTGGACATGCAAAATGCTGAAAACCATCTTTCCCACCAGTGGTCAAGCAGTTCCGTTCCCTGAACACTGGGAGTTCGGTCGTGGGTTCGCGCCTCGCCCGGACGGGCTGGCCACGTGGAGTTTTCCGAGTTTTCTCCACGTCTGTAACGCCCGAATAGGGACCAGTTACCTTAAAATACCACCCGAAAGGCATTATTTCCCGCGTAACAACTATCATAAACGCATATAACTCCTATTACATCACAATTACGTCACACTTTACCACAGGGCGATATACCTAGAAGCTTATGCCCAACTAGCCGATACAAGACATGACAAGAAAATTATCATTTTCGCATGTCTGATGCAAGTAACAATGTTTCTGTTAAAGTTTACTGAAAACTTTCACGACTCCACATTAAAATGTCATCCTCAAATGAAGACGAGCTGTTTTCTGTCGAATATCGATTTAAAAATTTTAGGCAATAAGAGGATAGGAGTGCGTGATATTAAAACTTTAGTTTTTAGTTTTCAGGATGTCATTTTCTGGATTCAAGTTTGGATGATTTCAGTCGAATTTGACATTATGAACGTCATTGACAGCGAATAGTTGATCGGTCTGGTGTACGAAGGACGGGCTATATGGAATTTTAAAAATTCAAATTGAGAACGTTCGAATAGAAGTTATGTAGAAAAATTATGATACTTTTTAAATCTCCCTCCTTTTGCTAACTGCACGTGTCTGCTAGTCTAGACAAGATTCCTTTCTTTCTTTCTTTCTTCTCTAATATGGAGATTCTGGCTGGTCACCTTTTCTCCGATGAAACTCCTGTCCGCAATTAGTCAAATCGATGTGTGCGTGCTACGTAACGTTCGAGGGCCTGCACGTGCTGTCTAGGTGAGAGGTCTGTTCTTGCCCAATATATGGGTGTTAAAGTCTGGATGATTGCGAGAAGGATCTTNTCATTCATCATGGTAAAAACATAAGTCCATATTATGATAAAAAAAACTTACTTATCAAGTTGTAACAAATAAAATATGGCTTACATAAAACTTCCATAGAATGATTTTTATGAACAATGGTTTTAAACAATTCACCTGCCAACAAACAATTTAGCTGTTGCTTGTTGATAGCTTAAAACTAGTGTAATGAAGAGAAAATGCTACAAGTTTGAAATTATAATGATTCTATGGAAGCTTTATGTAAATCATATTATTTCTGTTTTATTTGTTACAACTGAAGAGGGGTATTTACAGCAAAAATGCATTTTGTAACAACAAATGAAATAATAAATACATGTATTGCTAAAATAGTGAATTAAGATTTTTAATTTGTTGCTGGAATCACACTGGACTTACAGTATTAGAAATGGACTTAATGGCTGTAAAAAAAGAAACCCTGGCAGAAACATATTTAATACAATAGTATTATTATAAAAATGATATTTACTTAGTCACCTGTAGAAAAGACTACTGCATTTTCATAGAATGACCGACATGCTGGTCTATCCAGGGAGATCATAAAATCAGCTATTTCCATATGGTAAAAACTGGCATGCCTGCTTATCTTGGGGAATGGCGGCATGCTAGTTTAAGCGAGATTATACATCCCTCTCTAGAAGATGCATTTAAAAAAAAAGTTTTTATCTTAAAACTGTGAAACTGTCAACATTACATCAAAAACTACGATTTTATGTTTAATTTCTTTGTCTTGTCTCCTTTCTAATGACATAAAATACTCTTGGAATTCCAAAAGTGCTTTTTTTTATGTGTATTTTATTGTTAGTTGATTCAAACGGTCCTTATTTTGTCTTTTAATTAATCAGATGATATAGCAATTGTTGTTGTTGTTCTTGGTGAAAAAATTACTGTTGCATCATTATTTAAATTATACAATATAATGATTTTAAATGAATTATACAAAATTTCCTAAATCCCTAAATTTTTATAAACTGGTTACAATAGTAAAGAAAAATTTTGATTCCGCAATAATTTCATGTTTAAAATCACAATGAAAATAACACACTGTACTTATATATCCTTGTTATAAACTTGGTAAGAAAGGGGGAAAAAAGCAATTTGATTGCAAGCATTTTTCATTTTACTTTGTTATCAATATATTTTATTACATATCTACAATTATACATTATAATATTCTAGAATTTGATTTCTGCATAAAAATATTTTCTTTGGAAGTGTCTACTTTTTAATATTCATATAATAGGAGTGTAGTTAACTTTCCTTTGATAAATTATTATTATTTTTTTCTTATTAACATACTAAATGCAAAAATGATATCTAAATTATTATAACCTTGATTATAGTTGGCGCAATGAGAAACTGCACTTGGTTAATACCAACCGTACCTATTTTCGGAGAGATAGTGTGACAGGATTGGATAGTGCCGTGGTAATTATTTACACGCCTGAGTAATTATATTGTACGTGTTTTATCAGTTATAATATGTCATTTACGTAAACAATCCCATCCTAGTGCCCTATCTCGCCTTAAAGAGAAAAACTTATATCTTTAAAATAATGTAATTAACATTATTATTATTATTATAACATTTATAATCTACTCATTTAGAAAATCATCTATAAAATCATTCATATTGTGTTATAAGCTCTAATGGCCTTTCAACATTTTAATAATAATTTACAAAGGGCCGTTATAGTTTATAATAAAGTATGAAAGTATAAAAAGTTAAAGAATTCAATGCTAAAAGTGCTTGAATAACGGAATAAGCTAGTATAAAATAAGTAATAAAACAATGAAATTCATTGCATTCTGAGCTTAAAATTCTCTTCAAACAATACCATAAACATCTTTTGATAAAAATGTGTACACTGAAATTTCTTCTGTATCAATTATGTAATACAGTAATCTTTTATTTAAGCTACTCTATTTTATAGCAAGATGATTGATGTCTTTTATTTTAATTTTTCTTTCTTTAAATTACTGTTTATAATTATTTTATCAATAAAATTATCGTTCCATAATTATATTTGAACTTACTACAAAACAAATTTTTCATGTTCATTTATAAATACCTGCATAAATTTTTTCGTTATTTGAGAATAAAACCTATATACTGATTAATGCCAAATATGAATGAATGATCACTATAAATTTTTTTTACTATTTAAATGTTCCAATTATTTTTATTGATTCTCATATGTAATTGGATTGTTGACTGGAATTTAATATTCTCCACTAATGTCTGTATTCTCAACCAAGGAGCAAGATGATGAGTTAGAAGTTTACCAATAAGTAATCACATACTAACTTGTAAAATTAAAAGTGAATGGAAATTAGATTACTACTAACTCTAGATCTTTGGTTGCAAATATGGCTGTAGGACTTAGTTCATTATTGTTGAATTAATTATTGTAACTGTTATATACTGTATTTGTTGAACCAATCTTGCAATTTTTATTTCATACAATTATTTAATTATTTTACAAACTAGACAGTTAATTATATATATATATAAAAACTAATAAATACATAAAATTGAACTTCACAACTGTAAAATACTTAGTTAATTCCCATTCTTTGATATAGCAAATTTAAATTATATTTGTATGATTAACTGAAATACTTTAGTATTTTAGATTTATTCATTCATTTTAAAAAATTAATTTGAAACTGCCAGTCAAAGAAATTATACAGCTACAAAACTTTAACAAATTTGATGTAATAAAATGCTTAACTTCTTTGTAAAACATACTAATAAAATTCATCTTCAAAAATAATATTACATGTAAATATTGATTTGCATAAATATTTAATTGTGTAATCTGATTATGAATACATTAAAATGAGAAATTTTATATGAACAAATGAAATGAAAATATTTAAAATTTAAGAATAAATATATATCTTTTTATATTAATTTAAATTCGTTATGTATTTACATATTTATATTCTTTACAAGAATGCTGATACCAACTGTAGTCATTTCTTGTACACAAAGCAATGATTAACTATCTGAAAAGGGTGCCGCAGAATATTTTAAAAAGAGAAAAGATACATCAATGCTTGTAATAAATTATTATTAAAGACAAATCATGCCTATCTCCTGTATGGCGGACTTACTGTCAGAGCATATGANGTAAGTGCAGATTAGGTCAAAAGAACATTGACTTATTTGTCACAATTTTTTTTTTTTTTTTTTAAACTTTTACATTGGAACACATCCTGCAACAGTTGTATGGACGAAAATGATGGTCCTTATTTTGTCTTTTAATTAATCAGATGATATAGCAATTGTTGTTGTTGTTCTTGGTGAAAAAATTACTGTTGCATCATTATTTAAATTATACAATATAATGATTTTAAATGAATTATACAAAATTTCCTAAATCCCTAAATTTTTATAAACTGGTTACAATAGTAAAGAAAAATTTTGATTCCGCAATAATTTCATGTTTAAAATCACAATGAAAATAACACACTGTACTTATATATCCTTGTTATAAACTTGGTAAGAAAGGGGGAAAAAAGCAATTTGATTGCAAGCATTTTTCATTTTACTTTGTTATCAATATATTTTATTACATATCTACAATTATACATTATAATATTCTAGAATTTGATTTCTGCATAAAAATATTTTCTTTGGAAGTGTCTACTTTTTAATATTCATATAATAGGAGTGTAGTTAACTTTCCTTTGATAAATTATTATTATTTTTTTCTTATTAACATACCAATAGGAGAGATAAATAATGTAAATGGTGCAAATTTGATCTGAAATCTTAATTTTACAGCTGCCACTATGCAACAAACACTAAACATTTCTATTTCAAATGAAATCAGATAAAAATCTTTCTCATTAGCTATACTATTGTTTTATACACTAGTTAACAAAAACATGATCAACTTTTTTTTTACCTACAAATTTTTATGAAATCTTATGTAAATCATTGTATATTGCAAATTTGTACAATATTCAGTAACAAAAAACAAAATTCTTCTACACCCTTGTGACAATGTCAAACAAGATCTAGTGGGATGTATTAATTTATATAATTTACTAAAAACAAATGGATTAAAAAAACTGACGTTGTTAAAATTTCAGCTTATATAATGTTGCTAGCTTTTGTTATCACAATAAACAGTAAATAAAACAAATATTCAGATATGGAAGCTAGCAAAATATAATTACTATTATAAATAAGGAAATGACAAGCTCTGAGATGATGGTAAGATGTGAACAAGTACATTTTAAATAATGTCCGTATAGTATGATGAATTTATAATGCACAACTCATCAATATAATTACATTTCATTTTTTCTTCTGAAAAATCATTCTTCTTCAGAAACCAATTCTTTTATCTATTTACAGTTTTATCTATACATTAAATGTTCAAATTTCATATCTACACATTGTTAAATAAGTTCAAGGTTTCTTTTAACTTTTGGACGGGTTACTTGGCTTTGGTAACATCAAGCTATTGGAAGATAAACATAAATTAGTTATAACTTAATATCATTGTTAATATGTTTTTATCTACAGTCTCTATAATTTTACAAATATTAGGGATATATATATATTTATTAATTTATAAACAAATGACTTAATATCTTACATATTTATTCTTGATCCGAATCACCATCGCTCGAGTAACCTTGTGTATGAGAATCTGGAGAGGGAGGTGAAGAAAGTGGTCTATGAGTCAGAGTGCGATAGAAATCCAACCACTTTTCAAGCATCTGTGCAACCAACAGTGGTCTTTTAGGTATTTTTTGCTGGGCCACAAGAATACCACCTTCTGTTACACAGCAATCTAACCACTGTCGCATTATCTCTTCTTCACGTCCTACCTATTAATAGATAAATTATTAAAGAAAATTCTTTTGTTTTAAACTTTTGTAATAATTCAGTTTTACTCATTTGACTGTAAATAATTATAATAATTTAATAGAGAACAAATATATGATATGATTCTTATTTAAAAACTTTGACAAATTTTTTATCATAATAAATTAAACAAATTAATTGTATTATTACAGATCTTTCTTAAATTTTGTTGTATTCTGATGTTTTTTATTTCTGGTAAAATAATTTATTCAAAATAAAATTAGTAATGTAAGAGATATAAACATCTATTGTTGATAACTTATTTTGGTAGCTATAAATATTATTTAATTAAAACTTGCTCAATCAAAATATACTGCTTTATATATCTCACAAGAATTTTAACAGTATTACAGTATATATAATGGGGCCATTTTATACAAAACTGATACTGAAACTGAAATTTGTTTTTTCATAGATGGCAAATAGTCAGGGTAATCAACTCATAGTGCCACATCAGCAAACCTTATCTCCCCAACTTCTGACATTCAAAACATGAAAAACTATTGAATGCTACTCATGGTAACTTGCATGCATTTTTCTCAAGTAGTGTACTCGATATAGTGTAATAAAATTTTGCTCTGTAGATTCAAAACTAATCATCAGACTAAAATGTTAACATTTAGTGTAATATTTTACTTATGTTTTTACTGTAATGAATAACAGTCATTCATCATGGTAAAAACATAAGTCCATATTATGATAAAAAAAACTTACTTATCAAGTTGTAACAAATAAAATATGGCTTACATAAAACTTCCATAGAATGATTTTTATGAACAATGGTTTTAAACAATTCACCTGCCAACAAACAATTTAGCTGTTGCTTGTTGATAGCTTAAAACTAGTGTAATGAAGAGAAAATGCTACAAGTTTGAAATTATAATGATTCTATGGAAGCTTTATGTAAATCATATTATTTCTGTTTTATTTGTTACAACTGAAGAGGGGTATTTACAGCAAAAATGCATTTTGTAACAACAAATGAAATAATAAATACATGTATTGCTAAAATAGTGAATTAAGATTTTTAATTTGTTGCTGGAATCACACTGGACTTACAGTATTAGAAATGGACTTAATGTTGCATACTGGTCATTCCATGAAAATATGGTGTAAATCTTATTATTTTTTTCATAAGTAAAATGTTTTAAACACATTTAGAATTAATAAAAAACTGTTAGACTGATTTCATAAGTGTCTAAGCAATCATCTGAGAACTTACACAAGATAAAATAATGGTTTATACATATAAAATAGTTTCTAAAAATGTAAAAATACTGTTATTTTTATGTTTCTGAAAAGAATAATAATATTAGGTATCTAGAAGTTATAGAGTTATAGTCAATTATACAGTATGCACAGAGGACATTTTTCGAAAGTAAAATGTTTTAAACACATTTAGAATTAATAAAAAACTGTTAGACTGATTTCATAAGTGTCTAAGCAATCATCTGAGAACTTACACAAGATAAAATAATGGTTTATACATATAAAATAGTTTCTAAAAATGTAAAAATACTGTTATTTTTATGTTTCTGAAAAGAATAATAATATTAGGTATCTAGAAGTTATAGAGTTATAGTCAATTATACAGTATGCACAGAGGACATTTTTCGAAATTCCTCCCCAAGGGGAGAAGGAGAGGATTAGGTCTTAACAGTTCCATCAACAATGGAAGTGTCAAGTAACAATAAAAGTGTCAAGTAACAATGGAAGTGTCAACAATGAAAGTGTTACGAAACAATGGAATTGTTAAGAGAAAGCGATGTGCAAGACGCAGATGCAGTTTTTTTCGTTTTGTGAGAAATCGAACATATTTTTAGACCCATCTAAAAATTCTTTAATTAGTCTGGAAACAGGGGGATCCAATTCTTGCATTCTGTGAAAACGGGTAAGGTTGACTATAACATAATAATCTTAATCTTCGCTATCATTACTTTTGCCCAAGCAACACCGGGCCTACCTGCTAGTATATATACTGTATATCCAAAAGTCCTATGTGCATACTGTAAAGCAGTATTTTTACAATTTTTGTAAACTATTATTATCAAACAATTTAAGCTTTAGCTTCAGTTTCATTTAACACATATTCATTTCATTGTAGCAATACTAGTTTTAAAATAAATTAATCCAATAAATAAGATCATCAGAAAGTAACAAATGATGATGAACTGTATATAAAAATGAAATAAAAAAACTAGAGAGACATTTATTACATTATTAGATTGAAGATTTTGGATCTCAAAGAAATTAACAATTATTTATTATGACATCGTCACAATGTCAGGCTGAAATTTTTAATCATATTGTATTTTTATTTAATTGAAAATATATGCTCTCCACCTCATATTAGCAGCAGCTTACCTCTGCACATAATAATTTTCCTTTAACAATAGAGTTGTACCAGTCATCTATCCAACACCTTTAAGGGAAAAATTTTTGAATTGAAATAACATGACTTCTGGTTTGCATCAGAAGTTCATACATAATTAATAGGGGCCTACTGTCCCTAAGCTTTCCATATCCGGTCTTGTCTTTTACATGAAAGATCAGATATGGAACTCTGTTCTTGAGATTAAGTAAAGACAGATGGACGACAGTGAAAATTTATTTACAAGTTTTTCAAATTGCAGCCCGATAATAATTAACTTAAATTGAGTAGCATTGTAATTATTTTTGCAATTTATTACTGAAATTTGCAGTTACTAGGCTATAAATTGAAAAATTGTATAGACCTATAAATTCCCACTGTTGTGTGTCTAGCTGTCCTTCCTTCCTTTCTTTAGATCAAAGTCAAAACCAGATGTAGAAGCTTAGGGGCACGAAGCCACAATTAACTAAATATGAACTTCCGGTTTGCACCAGAAGTCACATTATTTCAACTCAAAAATTTTCTCCTGAAAGGAATTAGACTATTGTACAAGACTCTATTGTACCAAGACAGCACGACTCTATTGTAACAAGAAAAGTATGATGTACAGGGGCAAGACACTACTAATTTGAGGTGGAGAGTTTATATTTTAAAGTAAATAAATTAAAAATATGATTAAACATTGCAACCCAGTTTTGTGACAATGTCAGAATAAAATAATTGCTCATTCCATGATTAAAGTATCATCATCAATTTTATTGATACAACACTAGCAATAAATAAAGAATAAACAATCAGTGAAATTAAATCAATAATTTTATTTATTTCACAAATCAAATCTTAATTTTAACATTATAATTGTACTTGACAACAAAATTTTACTTCAAATAATTTTTTCAACTTAACAGAATTAAAACAAATTGTCAGAATTACAATATTCAATACTAAAACATCAAAATATCTTAAACTAACCTCATTTTGTGTAAGAAAATGCAAAGGTAATAACTGGTGATCAGCCGTCATCAATGGTAAGAAAACAACCTGTAAGTCATCACTGGTACGAATATTAGCACCTGCACCAAGCATATCACCAGAATCAGGTTCCATTGGTACTAAAGCTGAAAAGTGACCTCGAGTATAACCTAGAGAAATTGGAGATTTCCAGCAAAAGCTAGGTTCCCAAAGTAATGGAAGATATATACCTAAATTAAAAATATATATAAATAAAAATCCTGAAATAAGCATATACATAAAAATTCGTTTACAATTATCTTTTTCATCATAATTGTTTTTAATCATCATCAGAAAATATATTTTTCATAAACCTCTTTCATTACTTAAACATTCTTAAATAGAATTTATGAAGTTTGTATATAGGGTGCATAGGAAAGTCCATTTAACTGGAAAATTCTTGTGAACGGAGAGAGCTACAGCTATGCAAGTGAGGTAACGGTATAGTAAAGCGACTATGCCCGACCCAATGCATACAACAGCAGCGCCCCTAGTGGTGAAATTTGGAAGATAGGCAGTGCAAATCGAAAACAGATAGAGCAAACTTTCCAATTGGAAAGTTTTAGAACATCAATTAGTTAGTATGAAACAACATGTGGTTCACACAGATAAGATAAATTGTTGCCTGTATACCCAAAAATGTCCGAAAGCAATGCATGCCATTTTGTGTAAATGTTTGAAAGGAATAGCCATAGGTATGAAGAAATATGCACAATTTATTGCATAAAATACATACTTACATCAATACAGTTTGATAATAATGATGTGTATCATGAGCAATGACAAACTTTTCAAACATACTCGACATCAACTTGTTATCACTGTGTGACAGTTTTCCTTTCCTTGTTTTTTGTGTGATGTTATCAATCTGTGTGGACGTAAGTACGTATTTTATGCAATAAATTGTGCGTGTTTCTTCATATCTATGGCTACTCCTTTCAAATGTTTACACAAAATGGCATGCATCGCTTTTGGACATTTTTGGGTATACAGGCGACAATTTATCTTATCCATGTGAACCACATGTCATTTTGTACTAATTAATTTATGTTCTAAAACTTTCCAATAAGAAAGTTTGCTCTATCTGTTTTCATTTTTGATTGCACTGCCTATATTCCAAATTTCACCACTAGGGGCGCTAATGTTGTTTGCATTAGGTCGGGTGTAGTTGCTTTACTATACCGTTACCTCACTTGCATAGCTGTAGCTCTCTCCGTTCGCAAGAATTTTCCGGTTAAAGGGACTTTCCTATGCACCCTGTATACTTTATAAGAATCTTAACTAATTTTTCTTCAAAAATCTATTTTTTTTTTTATTTTTCACTCATTAAAAACTGAGCTTTTGAAAACTGATGTAATTCTAATTATATATTTAATTAAAATAGATTATTCAGCCCACCAGTGACAAAGTGGTTCCATTCCCTGAACACTGGGAGTTCGGTCATGGGTTCATGCCGTGCTCAGATGGGCTAGCCATGTGGAGTTTTCTGGGTTTTCTCCACATCTGTAATGCCTGAATAGGTGCCAGTTCCTCTTAAGATACCTCCTGAAAGGCATTATTTCCCTCGTGTAACACCTTTATCCAGAGCTGATAACAGGGTGGTACCACTGTGGTACTAACTTCCTCAAGACTCACCTTGGCGCACCCCTAATCATTAACTAACCTGCGCCAGATGCTTGCCAAAGTCAGGAATAACCGAATATGGCATGAAGAAGGAAACAGATTATTCCTGATGTCATTAGAAAATGTAGAATATAATGAGTGGTTTCAAATATACACATATTTAAAATCACTCATTTATGTAGTATAAAGATCAATTATGTACAATCAAATTAATTTTTCAACATGATTATATTAAAATATAAATAAAAATATTTATGTTTGTTCATACTAATTAAAATGTTCTTGATACTAGAAACTATGAGTCAGATGATCTATAACAAAAAAAAAAAAACACAATGTAGAAAAACAGAGGACAAGTAGAGAAACTAATGTACTTAATGATCTATATAAGTCATGAAATAAGTGATATAAAGTTTTAATATAACTGATATTACAATGTAATTATTATTTTATTGCATGTTTGAGTGTGCAATCTCATAATTTATTGTAATCAATATTTCTAAAATCACTTGTCACTCTAGACCACTCAAGTGCCCACTAACTCCCAGCCAAATTACGAAATTCCAATGACTAAGAATTTAGAGATATAATACAGTCGACCCCCCCTTAACATGGTAGATATGTTCCATTCTTTATGAAATTGATGTTCTAAGAGTCCTTGAATACATGAGCCAATCACAGCCCGGCACGTTTACGGACTACGGCTGTTTGAAAGGTTTTCTTCCATAAAATTAATTGATTCTAGACTAATTTGACTCAACATTTCCAAAATACATATAATTTTTTGGAAATAATCCATATAAACTATGCTATAAACAAAAAATTGTAGGATTACTTACCAAGTGTGCACCGTTCGATAACACCATTGCTTAAGCTTGTTTTCATCATGGAGCTTGTCATTGAATGGTGATCGCGTGCTTCCTGATAAATTATTTTTTTTTTCTGTGAAAAATTCGCTGAACTTTGGAGACATCAGCAATATAAATATAATTTTTATGGACATTAAATAATAAATGATTTTTAGTAGGTCCGCTGCTCGTTTAAACTCAATGGTTTGTACAATATCCACTATTGGTCTAGATTCGACCAATCCTGTCGCGACATGAGTCGGCAATGACGTTTTACCGAATTATACGAGTTTTTTTAGCATGTTTGTACGAATACTGTCGCAATTTTTTTGCCATCATATAGGTATCCGAACTATATGAACCCGTGTTATGGGGGGGTCGACTGTACTCATTTTATTGTTAAGTGGAAAGTCCAAACATTGAATAATTTTTTCTTTTTTAATAAAAATATTTAAAAATTTAGTTAAAAAATAAACTAAGAATATCTCTTCATTTCATCCTTTTGTATTTTATGGCATTATCAAGCCTGTTTTAATTATTTTTTAAGCAAAAGAAAAAATCCCTTTTAAACAAATCTCATTCTTCCCATAAAATATGTACTTCAATTAGTGTGAATTCACTTAGTGCAGTAATTTTCTGGAGAACATTAATCTATCTGAGACAATATTCTTGTATATCATTATAAATTGATAACTTTTTAATAAAAAGACAAACCTTCAAATCTTGCAAATCCTAAGGCTTCACCTCGAAAACTTTTGACATATTTTACTCCATAAACAATTATCGGACGTCTCAAAATATGTGCAAGAGTAAAAACATGCATTTGCTCTAAAGCAGAACCTGGCTGTGTGGCTAAGGACAAAAGCATAGCCCAATCTTCTTGCCACTGTGCTTCATCTAGTGAAAATTGTAGTAAATTTGCTTGCAAAGTTTCAGCCTCTTTCCATCTAGGATATAATCTAACAAATAAAATATATTAAATGTGACAGGAAAACTTTATAAATCATTTTAATAAGAATATTTGCAATTCTAATTCTTAAAATTTGAGTACATAACAAGCATTACTCTTACATTGATGCAGCTTCACATAAACTGTCTCCTAAAGATCTCCTTAAAGTATTATCACGATCAAATACTCCCCAAGTAGCTTGAAGAGCAGAATCTAACAAACAATCACCAGCACTTCTGTTCCACAAAGCATAAAGCCGTGAACCTAGCCTTTCCGTAAGCTCAAGACTCCAATTAATAATAGGTGACTCTTCTTCTAACTCTAAACAATTTATTACTATTATTAAATATTTTTATTTAGTTAATTTATTAAATAAATATGTAAATCTACCTTTTTGTACATCTCTATCTAAAAGTTCATCAAATAATGTTTGCTGTACAGGAGGAGAAAAATCTTCGATTTCTATTAAAAATTTAAAATCACATTAATATTTTGCATTTTCAAAATGGAAAAAAAAATTCTATTTAAGATTCAATATTTTAAAACTATTATTATTATTGACTTGAATCTGGAATTAACAATTTCAGATGCCAGGTTATTGTTATTCAGGAATTTAGTAATTTATATCAGTGCTTCATTTCAGCAACATTAATAATCAATTTTTTAATTTATATAAAAATTATTGCAAGCAGACTGTATATAGTTTTATAATATACATCTCATATTTAGTCACAAGCAATAAAGACAGATCAACTTACATAATATCCTTAAGCACTTTTTAAAATTACTGTTATTAAAATATAAAAATGTCAAGCTTTTACAGTTAGAAGAAAAAAACAAAAAACATAATAATATACTACATTATAATTATTTGTTTTCAAAATATTTAATTATTGTGGTAACTACACTTGCTTTTAGTATGTTGGATTATGCAATACTATAAAAGAACTAAAAATAAAGTAGAAAGAATGAAAAATTCCAAACAATGTCTTTTTGCTTCACTTCAAACAAGAAAGTGTTATCTGAGTTAATCTGGAAAAATCTGGAAATTTGATTGTTTCAAATTTTGTTTATTATAAAAAGACAATATAAACTACTACCTTATATGAAAGTTTTACTTTTTTCCTTGAATATATTATAAATGCCACATTATTATTTAAAACATTAAAACCATAGATTGAACAGAGAACTAACAATAATAATTAATTTTCAGAAATGCTCTTACAATTACTAAGACCAAACTGATAGAAAATGTCACTGAAGTCTGAAAGTTTGATTTGTTGATTGAATATTTACAAAAATACAAATTTGACGTATACAAAGAATTATTTATAAGTGCATCAAAATATTATATACAAAGGAGTGAGTTGTTTGAAAGTCAAGAACTGTTTGTATTAATTAATTAAGAAAAGATATCATCATCATATGTTACTTCAATTCTCCTTGACTTATTAGAGATAAATTTTTTTTAAATAAGTAATGTTAAACATTACATATTACTAAAGCATTCTAAAAAACTTAAGAACAGAAAATATCTATATATAGTTGTAGTTGAAAAATTTTATGGGATGAGGCAATTTTATTAATCTCAATTATCATAAAAAATATTGAAACAATATTTTCAAATATTAGAATAAAGTAATAACATTAATCTATTTATGGTTTAATTTGTTTTGTTAATTTTTATATTATATAATTTTTATTTGACATTTTGCCAATCAACTTTTCTTAAAGAATCCCTTAACTGATAATGGAGTTCCATTCTACCACTTGGTTGTGTGTTAATTTCACATGAAAATATTAAAGACATATTTAACATAATTATTGCTATCCAGAAAGAAAAAAAGAAATTAGTTATAGCAAATAGTTTTTTAAATACATCTTGTGTTAAATGTAATGTAGTAGTTAAAAGTTCATTGCCTTCAATAAAAGTACTTATATTTAAAAAGAATGTGACATCAATACACATCATTGATATATAAGCAACAACAACAAGTCTTCTATAATTTAAAAAAAAAAAATTATTTATAATCATGTGCATTCAAATCTAATTGTATTTACTAATTTTCACATCATTACTAATAATCAATAAGAAATATTAAAATTTTGTTGCAAGTTTCTCTGTGTTACTGTATTTTTGCTTAAGGATATATAATATATGATTTATATTTACATTGCAAAAAAAGTACACCATTGCTATAGCTATTTACAGTTTTACACTATTGCAAACTATCTGTACTCTCAGACTCTTTCATTTTAAAATAACTAAATTTCTGAGAGAGAGTATATATCTAATATTATAACAACAATAATGTCATATCATTTTAAATATCTATTCATTTCTCCACATATAACACTGAAGTACTTTACTTTATACGGAATGTTGCAGAAGTTTATAGACAAATACAATATAATCGTAAACAATGTCCACACTAGTCCACACTAAAATGCTTCAAAAGTACTTTTGTTTAGAAAGCAAGTAAATTTTTATATGATGCAAAAAGAATAAAAGTTGTTTAATTTTGTCTTATATTATAACACAAATAGATGCTACTAGCATATTGGAAAATATAATGCATGGCATCATTCTGTGATAAATGGCAATAAATGTGTTAATTTAAAATGAAAGTACTGATTATAGAAATTCATTTATTATTGCATATCATATCTAATTTCAGTATATTTGAAAAACTTATTTTACATTTAATTTTAAAGATTATTAATGAACTTATTTCTTAAACAATTTTAAGAATCATCAATTTAATAACAAAATTATAATACCTGCTGGAAGAGCAAAAGTAACAAATTCAGTTACAAAATAACATGAAAAGTCTCCTTTTCGCTGCTTTAAAGAAGCACTTATATGTCGTCTAATATCAGCTGCAATGTCTTTACTCATGTCAGATGGGACTCGTTTGGCTATAGGATGTGAAACACCCGAATTCGAAAGAAGAATTGGCAACAAATCTTCTCTCTTTAGAAGTAAATATAAAATTTTAATTTTTTAAATAAATTAAATAAAAAAAATTTAAATGCAAAATTTTTTTACCTGAAATCTAATAGCAAGATGAATGAGAGTATGACCAACATCAAAAGCTGATGGTCTTCCTAATAATGAAACTTCACTAGCTGTCAACTGACGTGTGGGATCACCACTCAATGATAAATATTGTATCACAGGTTCTGCATCACCATCAACAACACCTGTACAGGCATTTAACCAAGCCCAGTCAATCTCCCTTGCCTTCCTGCGTAATTGGCGTAATCTACGTTCCTCTAAATAATTATTAGGAGTATGACTACTAGAGGTAGATGATAACTGAAAATATACATATATACAAACATATATTATGAAAATATATTTTACTTTCATTTATTTTCAGTAATATAAAGTTAAAATTTTATATATATAAAGAAAACATACAAGATAAAAGATTCAATAAACTTTATCTACTTTATTATTCTTGTTATATATGAGCCATTCCCATTCACAAACCAAATCAATTAACTCCCTTACTTATGCAAAAAATGTAAAAACAGTATATCCTTGGAATAATCTTTATTACTTTATATGTCATTAGATCAGAGGTTCCCAATTTATTTTTATTACAGAACCCTTTTCACCTTAATAAGAAATGTTGGAACCTTGAAGATATCAAAGAATTAAAAACTACTTTGAAATTTTCAAATTTTAAATCAAATTTATTTTTTAAATTTACATTATTTGTGTGCAGTGGTGACAGAACAATTTCCTTTTAATATATATATATATATATATTGCAGGGATATGATAAAAGTGGGGATTTGGTCAAATCCCTAAGGGAGATGATCAATTCACTGAAGATGTTAAAATGACAATTCTATAGAGTCATTTCCCTAAAAAAAAATAAGTGATTTGATCAAATCCCTGTATTATTTTAGTGAAAAGATAAAATAAACAAGTCAGGACTTGCATAGCACTGCTTGTGCTAGTTACCCACCTCCTCGTCCCTTTAACAGGCTAGTTGCTGGCGACCTCTGGTGCACGCAGTTGCACAAATCATTATGTCACAATAGTCGCATGCATTTATATTTTATTTTCCTTGTGATTTGTACAATTATCAAAATAATGGCTTTGAATACAGGACAAAATCAGACTCAAACTGAATTTGTGTGTGAAGAAGAGTTCAATGAATCTATCAGGACATGTTTGCACGAGCGGCATGATAAAGAAAAACCGTTGTGGACTCGCAAAAGAATAGAAGAAGCTATCACAGCCATTGAACAATTTAAATTAGCACCAGTACTTAAGTTTCAATGGACAAATAAACAGTATTACTATGGGGAAAAATACAATCTAATGGAAGTAGGTACTAAAAAATCTTTGATTTTGAACAGAAAGTCTGACTCTGATCCAGTTGTGAAAATAGTGCCTGCAGAAGAATTTTATCACATACTTTGGGGAAACTCATTGGTTAACTGATCACAGAGGCAGAGATAAAATGCTGTATAGTTTGAAATCGCAATACTTTATACCCACTTCAGTTGTTCTGGAGTTTTTGAAACTGTGCACGGTATCTCAGTCTAAAAAAATTTCCAAGAAAAGGAATCATCGTTAGCCCAATTGTGTCCTGTGACTTCAACCATCATGACCAAGTGGATTTAGCTGACTTGCAGTCAACCTCAGACAGAAATTACAAATCGTTATTACATTACAAGGATCATGCAATGAAATTCAGCTTTCTACGGCCATTGACTTCGAAAAGAGCATCTGAAGTAGCGATGGAGCTATTAAAAATCTTTCTAGATGTAGGTTGTCCTCATATATTACAAAGTGACAACAGCCGTGAGTTTACGGCTGTTGCCATACAAAAACTGACATCCCTGTAGCCAACAAGTAAAATTGTAAATAGTAGGCCTAGACATCCAGCAAGCCAAGGATCTGTTGAACAATTGAATCAAGATGTCAAAGTTATGTTATGTGCTTGGCTTATGGACAATGACACAAATAATTGGGCTACAGGTTGTTACTTTGTTCAGTTTCAGAAGAATTCCTCTTTTCATCATACCATTCAACAATCACCTTACAAAGCCTTATTTGGAACAGAACCAAAAACAGGACTCCAATCTACTCATATTTCAAAGGAGTTGTTTGAGCTTGTTACTGAAGAGGACTTGGATCAGCTTCTTAAACAGCAACATAGTGACAATACTTTGACAAAGAATTTACCAGCAACACAATTAATGAACAATGATGACGTTTCAACTTCAGAAATTAATCCAGAAGCTGAATTAATTAACTACAATGCTTCAACTACTAAATTTAGAGAATCTACCAGCAACTGAATCAATAACACAGCTCGAACCAGTTTAAAACTCTACAACACCTGTACTGCCAGTTAAAACATCCATCTGTACTGTTAATAGAATCAAAAACAGAAGCAGTTGACAGTGAAGTAAAACTACATTGTGTTGTTTGTGGAACAGAATCTACTAGATTCTGTTCCACAAACAACACAATGTTCCATTCATGCAACATTTGTAAAAATCCAGTACATTCCAGTATATATGGTAATAGCATAGTAGAAGAAGGATATGGATCAAAAATTTTATGCTACTTATGCCAAAAAAAAAAGAAAATTATAGATCAAAGGAAACATGCTGCAAAATACCTAAAAATATCAGCTAAAAAAATGGAAGATTTTTCATTGAAGAAATTTAAGGTGTTAGGGAATTGTTCAGTTTTGGTTGATGTACAGTACCTAAGGTAGATAGAGGTCCATTAGACGAAAATAATATTACAGGGATAGTATTAGATTAAAAAAATGGTTTATACCAAATTGGTACTTCAGCTGGCATTATAAAGGATTGGTTTCCTAGAAACACTCTTCAAATAGCTACTACCACATTTACCGAAACCATCCCACTGATAAAGCTAAGTTTGCGAGAAATTTGATGGAAAATTATCTTTATTCGGAGGTCAAGGGTTTAAGAAATATTCCTGTGAAAAATCCAAGGTACAATGCAAAACAAATAAATGTGCCTGTAAAAAAAGTAATGTCCTCTGTAACTCCAGGTGCCACAAATCTACGTGTTTCAATAGAAATAAATTTGTCATTACAGTAGAGCCTCGAAAACTCGGCACTCGATAACCCAGCACTCCGGATAACTCGGCCACACCCTGGCAGGGCAAAAAAATCCGTAGTTAATTAATTTTCATTATGGACAGCTTTATGCCTCATAAAGTATTTTTCTGGGGTCTGTCTTATCAGGTAAATTACTGTACACTGTGTATTCATTAATTTTCTTTTTCATGTAGTAATGGCTCTGCCTTCATAAAGTCGTACTTTTCCTTTGTTTAAGGATATTTGGGCAGTTTATTCTTTGTTGTATTCTCAAGCAAACAATACATACAAGTATAGTACAGTATTTTCTGAGGACTCTACACTCGTACTTATTTTTTTAACGCCATTCCCGATAACCCGGCATTTTCACAAACTCGACCACCCTTCAGTCCACATTAGGCCGAGTTTTCGAGGCTCTACTGTACCTCTATCTTTTCACATAAGTATTTCTTACTTTGTTGTTTCATTTTTTGTCATTTCACAAAACCAGTTTAGAGATTTGATCAAATCACTTCATTTAATTAGGGAAATTTTAACATCTTCAGTAAATTGATTTGGAAAAAAATAGGATTTCGATATGATAAAAGTGGAGATTTACCAAATTCCCACTTTTATCATATCCAAATCCCTGCAACATATATACAGATTTAAAATTAAGAATATATAAAATAATGATTTCCAAACTGGTTAATAATGTTTAGTTAAAGTATTTGAAAAATATTTTCTCAGTTTTTATTTCATTTGCAAATGTATTATATTTACAGCATAGTAATAATAATAATAATTTGTTTTAAGTTACTATTTTTTTTTATTTTCAATTCTTTTTGTTCTGTGGACTCTAAGAAGAGTCAATCAAGTCAATCATGGTTTCAGGTAGGCCTCAATGAAAGTGACCAGTTGGTGAAGGGCAAGACCCAGGACAGACTGCCCATGGAAAATTTGAGAGGCTGCTGACCCAGTCTTGAACATAGGACTTGCCAGAACAGTAGGCTGATACCTTACCTCTTCAGTCATCTTGGTCATCATTCATGCTAAGCAAGAAGGATACATCTATCCAAACAATGCTTGATAAAAGATTTTTCCAGATCCATTTTCACTTGTTTTGTAACTCATTTCATTAATAAAATTTTTTTAGCCTACTTGCTTTTCATTATACTTTATATTTCTAAATATGTAGTTAAAATATAGTTAAAAGGTCAAAATTAAGTCTTTTGACAAATATTCCAAAATATCATGGATAAATTTTATAATTTTTCTCATTTCTTTTAAACCTCAAATTTAAAATGTATATACAGGTAACCCCCGTATAACACGGCACTTCTATAGCACGAATTCGCTCTAACACGGTTCGAGAATTGGTACCATCTCCCGTATAACACGGTACTTTTATAGCACGGATTCACTCTGACACGGTTCGAGAATTGGGTAAAACCCTCGTACAACAGGAAATGTAATAAATTTTTACATACTTAAGTAATAATAGTTCACGAAAATTATTATTTTCGTGAACTATTAGTACTTAAGTATGTAAATTTTCTCTTCTCGCCTTCTGTCGATACACGTGGTCCTTCTCGAAACTTGTTTCAATGTTGCCAGATCGCGACGCTTCTGCTTCTGATGTTGCCGAATGTTTTTCCCTTATTCCATACTTGCTTTATTCTTCATAAGTGCTTAGCACCATATAAGGAAATTTATAAAGACCTTTTAACTAGAAGCAAGCAATCTAAAATTACATACATTTTGCAAAAGGTAAAGCATGGATCTGAAGATAATGCAGAAAAATGCTCAGAGGATAAGGATAACTTGCCAAAAAGAAAACGCTCTCGGTTAATTAATAGTGTTTTTAGTGATGACGAAGAAAACATTGTTTAATTTATATTAATATGTATCACTTAAAAAAATTTTAATGAAGATATTTATCTTAATTATGAAAATATACTAGCATGTTTTTTAATTTTTGGAACCTAACCCTCCTTTTCGTACTAGTTCTTTGTTTCGCATAACACAAATTCACATAACACGGCAATTTTTTGGAACGTAACTACCGTGTTATACGGGGGTTACCTATATAACACGGTACACCATACGGGGGAGTAACCTGTATAACACATATACACACATCATATTTTCACAAAATTACCAGCATGCAAGTCTATCTGGGAAGATCATGAAATCAGATATTTCCATATGATAAAAACCAGTATGCTGCTTTAAATTTTACCTTTGCAAGTACTCTTTGTGAAATAATCAGAAAAAGAAATTTCTGTTATCAATATATTAACTTTTTACATGTATATATAAAAAAAAAATTGAAGTATATCTGATATATGAAAAATATTTATAGTGAAAAACAAACTATTCAAAAGTTGATATCATTCTATTAAGGTATTTTTATAATGTATAAATTATAACAGATTAAATAAATCAATATTTAATTAAATATTCTTATATGAAGAATCAAACTATTCTAAATTTAGACTGCCTCCAATTCTGTTTATTGTGTAAGAATCAAATCATGCATTAACAAAAAACATTTATAAATTTCATTATAATCAATTTTTAAAATTTACTAACTTGTCTTTCAGTTGCTTCAGACATCTAATATTTCGGCGATTGCCATTATTAGTATTACTACAGGTACTTAATGTTCCTGGTGGAGATAAGTGCTGATTATATTCTTATATGAAGAATCAAACTATTCTAAATTTAGACTGCCTCCAATTCTGTTTATTGTGTAAGAATCAAATCATGCATTAACAAAAAACATTTATAAATTTCATTATAATCAATTTTTAAAATTTACTAACTTGTCTTTCAGTTGCTTCAGTACATCTAATATTTCGGCGATTGCCATTATTAGTATTACTACAGGTACTTAATGTTCCTGGTGGAGATAAGTGCTGATTATTATCGTTATATAAGATATGAGTTCTGCCTTTGTTTTCGTCATCAGGAGAAATGTGTCTTGATGTAGTTGAATCTATTTTAGGACGATTAGTATGACATAATATACACTGAAAATAAAATTAGAATTTAATTGAAATATTTGTAAAGATCACTGTTAATGAAAATATACAGAAAATTTAACGATGATATAATCAAAGACTTGCAATTAACTATTCTAAAACAACACTTACAACTTTAGCAAAACAGCAAAACAATTACAAACAAATTATATTTTTAAAATTTATTTAGATTATAAAATAAGTTTTAAAAAACAGAAACTAAAGTAAATATAGACTTTATACCAACTTATAATCACTTTAAACCAAACTTATCAATTACATTTAAAATGATCATATTTAGATTCAAGATTTAAAAAAAAAGCAAACTAAAGAACAACTCATAAGATCTAAATAATACTTTCCTATATACAGAAAATAGCAGCTGAATTTCGATATAAACTCAGGATCATTGAAAAAAATTATAAAATGTTAGTTCACTCTATTCCAAGATAATAATCCGTATGAAAAAATAAAAAAAGACCTAACAAAAATAGTTAAAGATATGTATTTGAATAATAAAATTAATCAAATTGATAAAAATAATAGAATCCAAACACTAAATATACGGTTAAAAACACATAAAAAGAAAAATACAGACCCATAGTAGATTTCAGGTACTCTGTACAATTTAGAAAATTATATTAAAAAACAATTGAAAAATATTGAGGGATCCACAAATACTATAAAAAATGCTGATGAAGTTATTAATATAATTCAAAAAGAAAAAACAGACACATTAATTAGTTTAGACACAAAAAAGATGTACCCAAACATAAAATGGGAATTAACTGAAAAAGCCTAATCCAATTAAAAACAAGCCAAACATTAATGAACCTTATAAAAGAAATTATTTTGAAGCCTGTAACAATTTTTATACACAAACAGATGGGGTCAAATATGGGGCCAAAATCAGCTGAAATAGTAATGAAAGATATTGATAAAAAAAATAGAAAACATTTCCGGTGTAAAAACCGTAATGAGGTATGTGGATGATTACTTATTGATATAACAAATGAGAAGATAATTTTAAATACAATAAATAATATAAACCAAGATATAAAATTAGAAAAATATAATAAAATTAATTTTTTGGATATCACTATAACAAATGAAAAAGAGAAATTTTCATTTAAAACGTATAAAAAACCATCTAATGTTAATAATACAATCAGTTATTACTCACATACCCCAATAGCTATTAAAAAGAATACAGTAGAGCGTCGTTTATCCGAAACGTCGGTTATCCGAAGGAATTCCAGTCGATAAATTTAAATTTTCGCCAGTGCTGTGGCGCTGTAATCTTTGGCTATGTCTTGGGCTACTCAAATATTTTACGTTTTTGATACTAANAGATAAAAAAATAGAAAACATTCCTGCTATAAAAGCTGTAATGAGATATGTGGATGATTACTTATTGATTTTTAATAATAAAATAACAGATGAGAAGATAATTTTAAATACAATAAATAATATAAACCAAGATATAAAATTTGATATAGAATTAGAAAAATATAATGAAATTAATTTTTTGAATATCACTATAACAAAAGAAAAAGAAATTTTTATTTAAAACATATAAAAAACCATCAAATGTTAATAAGACGATCAATTATTACTCACATACCCCAATAGCTATTAAAAAGAATACATATATAATGGAATTAAAAAAGATATACAAAAGAACAACCAACAAAAATGAACACGTAATAGAATTAAACGAATTAGATCATAAATTCATCCTCAATAGTTATCCAAAAAAAATGTTAAAAATTTGGCACACACAATATTACAAAAACAGATTTAATATAAAAAATAAAAAAGAAGGAAAAAATTTTAAAGCTTTCCCTTATATAACTAATATTTACGATAACTGTTCAAAACTTTTAAACAAAGATAATGTGATTTTGGCCCCATTTTTGACTAATAAAATTTCACAAGCTATTCATAAAATAGGAAAACATAAAACCAAAATTGATAAAAAAACTGGCACAGTTTATAAGATAAACTAACTGTCAGAATCTGAAAGAATACATAGGGGAAACAGGAAGGACATTAGAATTATGGCAGCTTCATGTTCTTTTATAGAACATGAAGCTACCATAAGACTAAAACATAATAATTCCCCTTGGTTCAACCACATCAAAAATAACAACTGCCATATAGATAGAAATAATATTAAAGTCCTACACTATGAAAAAGATATTTATAAATGTAAATTCAAAAAACACACAGAAATAATAAAATATAATAAATGATAATTTAATAAATGTGTCAACTGGAATGCAAATCGACCAACAATGGTATACCATAATAGAGGGCGCTAAGATAGATTAGTTACATCATAGGGATTACACATTGTTGTGGAAAAAAATTTTGTTGTATTCTTAATAGTTTTTTAAAAAAGTTGTATAACGTATACTGTCAAAATTTCTGAAAGATAATATGCATTTAATTGGAAAGAAATCTGTATGTATATTTAATTTTTAAAATGTTCATTGTAAAATATTACTAAATGTTATAATTTATAATTACTAGTGTAACAAGCGGTACATTTTTATGATGTAACAAGATACAAGCTTTTAAAGCAATTTAACTAGAAAGAAATCAGTATGTATATTTAATTTGTTTAGTTTTTTATAAAAAATTTAAAAAGTTACTATATGTTACGATTTGTACGTTATAAGGTAGCGACCAGTGCCATTTTTACAATACAAGATATAAGTAAGCCCTTCGAGTAATTTTATAAGATGGTAAAAATATTGTAAACGGGACTAAANTGTAAAAAGTTACTATATGTTATGATTTGTATGTTATAAGGTAGCAACCAGTGCCATTTTTATAACACACGATACAAGCCCTTTGAGTAATTTTATAAGATGGTAAAAATATTGTAAACGGGACGAGAGTTGAGAAATGGGTAAAACCCATTTCTCAACTCTCTTTTGGCATTGTTATGCTATTGGAAAACAAGTATTTGTATGTAGGAGATAAATAAAAGAAAATAAATATTTATTTTTGAAATACCTCATCATTGCAAAATGAAGTCACACATTGTCATATAGCATGAATCTACTTCATTTTCTTTTGAAAAGCTCTTATTTAGTAAATTCTTTTAATAAATTAATCCATTTTAGAAGTATCAATTAAATATTTACTCAGTTTACAACAAAATTTCTCTTTTGCTCTTACTGTAAATAATGAAAACGATTTGAATGACAAAACTTCCAAACAAATTGAATACAAATTATGAATTAATTTATAAAGGAACAATCAGATGGCTGTTACATGCACATTGAACCATATGCTTATAGGCTTCTATATATTTAAATGGACACAGTTTCAAAACTTACATGTTAAGAATCCTAACCAGGGAAGTTAAACATTAAAATTTATCTTTTTTCAGATAGTAATTTAGTAAATCTTAATAATAATAAAATATAAGCAGTCTCCTGATTTTCAGAGCTAATACATTTCTAAAAATGTGTACAAAATTAAATATCTGAAAGTTAAACAGCAGAGTTATGTTATAAAGAAATTCCATTTTCAGAAAGTAAAAAAGAAAAATTAATGTAGGAAAGTTGAAGTTTTTTTTATATAACAAATATGACACATAAATTATTTGTCATAGTCTTATATCAATACCGTTTTGTCTGTATTTTAGTTAATTAACTTTTTAAATTAATTTTTACTTGTTGCTAAGTTTTTAATTTAATTAAATATCTGAAGACAAAGTCCTTCCAAAAAAGGAACCACCATTTATTATCTTCATATTCCAGACTATATATTCTTGGCGACTGACCTTCTAATTTAGGCTACTGGCCACCAAAAAGTCCTTTTAATAACACAAAAATACATCCAGTTAAAAATACAAATTTTTTAATAAAAGGAATTGGTGGTATATGGACATCATCTAATTTCTATGTAGGTAAAAAGCCGAAACAACCCCAAGAAGGTATGATGGAAACTAGAAGACTTCCATATATCACCAATTCCTTTTTAAAACAACTTGTATTTTTAACTGGATGTACAGTAGAGCATCGATTATCCGAATCAATTGGGAACTGGGGTTGTTCGAAAAATCAATTTTTCAGATAACCAATAAAGTACAAAAAAGTATATTAACCTATCCCATGTTAAAATTAATTCAAATCCTGGCACATCCTTAAGTACCCTCTCATGGTCACGTCAGTGCTGCCAGCTAAAACATGTGCACCAACAAAAATAATATTGGAGTAGTCCAAGTCATAGCCAAAGTTTGCAGTGCCACAGCACTAGCGGAAATTTAAATTTGCCTACTGGAAAGCTTTCGGTTAATTGATGTTCAGTTGATCGACATTCGGATAATTGATGCTCTACTGTATTTTTGTGTTTTTAAAAGTACTTTATGGCGGCCAGTAGCCTAAAACAGAAGGTCAGTTGCCAAGAATGTATAGTCTGGAATACAAAGATAATAAATGGTGGTTCCTTTTTTGGAAGGACTTTGTCTTCAGATATTTAATTATAATTATTGCCATCGGACAAAAATTTGCAAAAAGTTTTTAATTGTTGAATAAACATAGGCTAGTATATGATAAATATGTTGTTGGTTGTGTTTGAACCAAATGTTAGACTAGGTGTTTTGTAGGAACATGAAACTGAACTCTGTACACTGAAAACTAAAACTGTGCAAAAAAAGGGTTTAAAACTGCTCTAAATCTAAAATAAAAAATTGTCATAGAGAGCAATGTAAATTGACAGCAATTGGAAACTCAACTAACATGTAGCACCCAACCATATTGCAACTGACAGTTAGCCCACAGACTTTATGATAAATTTTGACCTTGGCCCATAGATTGAATTTCAAAATTCCAGCTTCATCACATCATCAGCCCTGCCAAGTTATACATATTTGCAAAAGATCTTGTTTAGTGGTTGTAGAGTTGGCTTTAAACTTTGATCACAGACAAAACGTTTTCTGATCTATGCAGTAACTGACCTATCCACTCAATAAAACAGTAAAAATTAATTTC